TATTTCAAAAACCAATTGTAGTATCTACTTTGAATTTGTTTCTTTGATAGATGTAACTTTTCTGTATGTACACGATTTTTTTCATAATTTTTGGCCATTGGGCTTTTCCGGAATTGCATTAAATATTTCTTTCAACAAAACTGATGCGTTTGCTTCCGGATTTTTGACTGTCGGGCCCAATCTTGGTCTAGGACCGTCAACACGCTGTATTTTTCGACTCAGCTCATTGAATTTTATCTGTCAGAATTTTTGTGGATTTGTTGGCAACTTCCTGAAAAAGCTAATTTTTTTAATATCTTGGATCTGTGAAATTTTGAAGGTTTTTTTCCAAGCCGCCGAAAAAAAAATCTTGTGCCAAGTTGGACCTCCAGAAGTTTTTTGCGGTTTTAGTCCTTTGAAAATTCGTACCATTTGTTTCTAAATCGGAAAAATGAAATTTGGGAAATTTTGAGATATTTTTAAAAACCTTGAGTTGGAATATTTCAAAAACCAATTGTAGTATCCACTTTGAATTTTTTTCTTTGATGGACGTATCTTTTCTGTATGTACACGATTTTTTTCATAATTTTTGGCCATTGGGCTTTTCCGGAATTGCATTAAATAATTCTTTCAACAAAAATGATGCGATTGCTTCCGGATTTTTGACTGTCGGGCCCAATCTTGGTCTAGGACCGTCAACACGCTGTATTTTTCGAGTCAGCTCATTGAATTTTATCTGTCAGAATTTTTGTGGATTTGTTGGCAACTTCCTGAAAAAGCTATTTTTTTTTTAATATCTTGGATCTGTGAAATTTTGAAGGTTTTTTCCAAGCCGCCGAAAAAAAATCTTGTGCCAAGTTGGACCTCCAGAAGTTTTTTTGCGGTTTTAGCCCTTTGAAAATTCGTACCATTTTTTTCTGAATCGGAAAAATGAATTTGGGAAATTTTGAGATATTTTTAAAAACCTTGAGTTGGAATATTTCAAAAACCAATTGTAGTATCCACTTCGAATTTTTTTTTTGATGGACGTATCTTTTCTGTATGTACACGATTTTTTTCATAATTTTTGGCCAATGGCCGTTTCCGGAATTCCATTAAATATTTCTTTCAACAAAAATGATGCGATTGCTTCCGGATTTTTCACAGTCGTGCCCAATCTTGGTCTAGGACCGTCAACACGCTGTATTTTTCGACTCAGCTCATTGAATTTTATCTGTCAGAATTTTTGTGGATTTGTTGGCAACTTCCTGAAACAGCTAATTTTTTTTAATATCTTGGATCTGTGAAATTTTGAAGTTTTTTTCCAAGCCGCCGAAAAAAAATCTTGTGCTAAGTTGGACCTCTAGAAGTTTTTTTGCGGTTTTAGCCCTTTGAAAATTCGTACCATTTTTTTCTGAATCGGAAAAATGAAATTTGGGAAATTTTGAGATATTTTTAAAAACCTTGAATAGGAATATTTCAAAAACCAATTGTAGTATCCACTTTGAATTTTTTTCGTTGATGGACGTATCTTTTCTGTATGTACACGATTTTTTTCATAATTTTTGGCCATTGGGCTTTTCCGGAATTGCATTAAATATTTCTTTCAACAAAAATGACGCGATTACTTCCGGATTTTTGACTGTCGAACCCAATCTTGGTCTAGGACCGTCAACACGCTGTGTTTTTCGACTCAGCTCATTGAATTTTATCTGTCAGAATTTTTGTGGATTTGTTGGCAACTTCCTGAAAAAGCTATTTTTTTTTTAATATCTTAGATCTGTGAAATTTTGAAGGTTTTTTTCCAAGCCGCCGAAAAAAAATCTTGTGCCAAGTTGGACCTCCAGAAGATTTTTTGCGGTTTTAGTTCTTTGAAAATTCGTACCATTTTTTTCTGAATCGGAAAAATGAAATTTGGGAAATTTTGAGATATTTTTAAAAACCTTGAATTGGAATGTTTCAAAAACCAATTGTAATATCCACTTTGAATTTCTTTCATTGATAGATGTAACTTTTCTGTATGTACACGATTTTTTTCATAATTTTTGGCCATTGGGCTTTTCCGGAATTGCATTAAATATTTCTTTCAACAAAAATGATGCGATTGCTTCCGGATTTTTGACTGTCGGGCCCAATCTTGGTCTAGGACCGTCAACACGCTGTGTTTTTCGACTCAGCTCATTGAATTTTATTTGTCAGAATTTTTGCGGATTTGTTAGCAACTTCCTGAAAAAGCTATTTTTTTTTAATATCTTGGATCTGTGAAATTTTGAAGGTTTTTTTCCAAGCCGCCGAAAAAAAATCTTGTGCTAAGTTCGACCTCCAGAAGATTTTTTGCGGTTTTAGTCCTTTGAAAATTCGAACCATTTTTTTCTGAATCGAAAAAATAAAATTTGGGAAATTTTTCCGTTTATCTTTTTTTTAAATAAATATTTCAATTTTGAATTTTCCGATTTCGGCCTATTTCGATTTCTCGATCTTTTGAAGTCTCAAGTTTTCGATTTCGATTTCTTGGTTTTTCGATTTTCAAAATTTTCGATTTTTCTAGTATATATTTTAAATTTTCGATTTTTAAAATTTTTCATTTTTCCCTTTTATAATCTTTATGTTTCGATTTCCCGATTTTAATTTTTTAATGTGTTTCAATTTTTCCATTTTTGGAATTTTCGATTTCTCATATCTCAATTTTCCAATTTTAAAAATTTTTCGATTTCTCGATTTTTAAGTTTTCGCTATCTCAATTTTGGGAATTTTTCAATTTCTATATTTTTCAGATTTTCGATATTTTCATTTTCCCGATTTTGTAATTTTCATTTTCTTGATTTTATATCACAATTTTTCATTTTTCCATTACCTTTATTTTTTCAATGTTTCTTCGGATTTTATAATTTTTTGTTTATTCAATTTTTTACATTTTCAATCTTTGATTTTTTAAGTTCTTGATTTCCAATTTTTTTATATTTCGAAGCTTTCAACCATTCGAATTGAAAAATTGGTAAATGCAAAAATTGTAAAATCGAAAAATTATAGAATCTTGAAAATTGTAAAGTCCAAAAACTGTGACATTCAAACACCGAAAAATTGAAAAATTCCAAAAACGAAAAACTCAAAAAGTGAACAACTTTAAAAATTATATAATTATTACGAGTGTTACATAATTAAAATGAAAACTAGAAAAACTGCAAATGAAAAATTAAAAAAACGGAAAATTGAAAGCCGAAAATTGAAAAAATAAAGAAAATTAAAAACCCACACGAAAAATTGCAAATTGACGAAATTAAAAACTGGAAACTCGTGAAATTTGCAAACTCTAAAATTTGAAACATCTAAAAGTTGGAAAATCAAAAACTGGAAAATCGAGAAATCGAAAATTTTCAAACTGAAAAGTCGAAAAATTGAAAAATCGAAATTTTGGAAAATCGACAAACCGAGGAATTCAAACTGAAAAAAGATCGGGAATTCAAGATGTCGAAAAATCTAAATATCTAAAATTTAAAAAATAGAAAAATTACAATAACGAAAAATTTAACATTAAAAAAAACACAAAATCAAAAAGTCGAAAAATCGAGAAATTGAGAAATGGAAAAATGAAAATTTAGAAAAACCAAAGATTGAAAAGCATAAAAAAAATTAAAATCGGGAAATCGGAACGTAAAAAGAATAAAATCGAAAAATTGAAAAATTTTAAATTTAAAAATTCGAAAACTTGAAAAACCGAAAAACTGAAGAAACGAAAAACTAAAAAATCGACAAATTGAAAAATCCCAAAACTGAAAAGTCGAAAAATTGAAAAACCCAAAAATCGATTTCCGGTAAGTCGAAAAATCAAAATTTAAAAAGTTGAAAAATGAAAATATCAAAAAACTGAAAAATATAGACATTCTCAAAATTGAAATGTTGAAAAATTGAGAAATCGAAAACTTGAAAAAAAGAACGAAAAGTAAAAACATTTTAAAATCGAAAAAACGAAAAATCGAGATGTAAGAAATCGAAAATTCTAAAATCGAAAAATTGGAATACACGTTAAAAAGGTTAAAATCGGGAGATCGAAGCATAACTAAATATAAAATCGAAAAATGGAGAATTTTAAAAATCTAAAAACTTGAAGAAATAAAAAATTAACAAATGGAAAAGCCGAGAAATCGAAATTAAAAAATTGAGACATCAAAAGATCCGAGAAATGGAGAAATCGAAAAACCGGAAAATTTAAAACTGAAATACATATTTAAACTTAAAAAAAAACGATAAATCGATATATCAAAAAAGTGAAAAATTTTAAATTAAAAAATTGGAGATATTGAAAAATCCCAAAATTGCAACAACGAAAACTTGAGAAATCGAAAAACTGAAAAATCGATAAATTGGAAAGAGGAAAAATCGAAAAATCAAAGAATTGATTAATAGAGAAATTGAGAAATGTAAAAATGAATTTTTTTTTAAATTGCAAAAATTGTAAAACTGAAATATCGAAAAATTAAGTAAACTAAAAATCGAGAAATCAAGAAATCGAAAAATTGTAATTCAATTTTGTTTTATTTTTCCACAAAAATTTCGATGTCGAAGATAAAAATTGAACACGGATTCATAGACCATAGGTACACTGTTACTTTTTTTTTAATTTATGTAACATTTATTTGACAAAATTGTAGAACTGAAGAAACGAAAAATAGAAACATTGAAAAACTAGAAATCGAGAAAAAATTAATGAATCAAAAAACGAATTAAATCGAAAAATGTTCGTAAAGTCCAAAAACTAACATTCAAAGATCGAAAAATTAAAAAATTCCAAAAACGAAAAATTGAAAAAGTGAACAACTCTAATTAAAATTATAATTATTATTACATATCTAAAATGAAAATTAGAAAACCTGAAAACCCCTGCGGGGGTGCTATTTACGCCACTGCTAATGAAAAAAGTTCAGGGAATTTTTATTCTTCTGCATCGAATACCAACCAACTCACTAGACTTTCATGGCCAACCCTACTATATAAAGATCGTGAACGGATAATATTGTAAAATTTTATATAGAAAAAAATCGTACTTCGTTCATGGTTTTCGACGACGAAGAGATGAGTAGGAATGTCAGGGTAAAATAAATGAGAATGTCGGCGAAGTCTTGGCCGACGCTTCCTGGAGACTCCACGGGTCCTTCATTCACAAAACCAAATTCCACTAGCGAAAAAATCGCTGATATTAAAATCAAAACTTGCGCGAATGTTAGGAAGATAATCGGTACTGAAAAAATTTGACACAGAATTTTACTTAAGTCACATAGGTGGTTGTAAATTTGAGACACAAATTTCACTTTTTGGGTCACTTCGTTACAATTGTGGCCACTTTTCAGTTGGAAATTAAGCGACAAGAGAAACTTATTTATAAGTTCGAATTTTTGCTTCAACGTGAACGCTAAAGCGCTGAATTCTATCAGAACTAAAGAGTAAATTATAAGTGCGACGAGACCACGAACATTGTACAAAAAAATTATAGTTGTTATAGGGTTAACAAAGTAGAAAAATACACCATGTTTGAGAACTGCCAAAATAACTAGAACTACGCCTGAAATAATTATAAAACGATAAATTTTTGAGTTGGTTGTTTTAATTTTTGGTTGCTTGAACGTCGACTTTGCTTTAACATCGAACAGACTCAACTGTCTTAGCAGATAAACCACCTAAAACGATTTATTTAAATCGGGTCAATTGTTTCCAGTTTGCTTACTTTGCGGCTGCTGATAATCATCTGAAGTACGATAATCACACTAATAACACTATACAAAACCTGTTCTACGCTCTCCATAATTTCCACAATCACGCTATATTTCCCCATGGTTTTGAAACTCACGACGTAAATTCCAAAAATTATCAGCAACCCTAGAACCACACAACTCCACAACAGGGCAAAATTATCCACAACGCACGAATTATTCGTAAAACGAACCGGCGCTAAACCGAACATTTTTAAAACCACGAACAATTTTTTCATGTTCTCGTTGCCACCCATTTTTCAAAAAACAGCAACTTCCTATATGAACAAAGAACGAACAATAGAACATTGTTCTAACGACTAGAAATAAAGAACAAAGGAGTCGGTTATTAAAAAGCGCTTAAATCAAAAGTGATTTATTAAATATGCACTACAATTCAGGTCCTTGGAGAAATAACAGTTCACTGTTGTAGTAAAAAAAATCACAATTAGTATTTTGAAACCTATTTATCGACTGCATTTCTCGTTTCTGTGGTGCTTCTGTTTCGGTTTTGATTTTCGTAATCACATTTTAAAACTTGAAAGATGAGTGAAGAGTGTCTCTGTTAACAGTTATTGCCCCAAAACCCCCACCGCTAATTCAAATCCACGTGCAAAATTATGGCGTGTTTGACATTGAAATACTGAATGGATTTTGTTAACACGACGTATTCCACACGTAGACTTGAACTAACTTTATCACACATTAAAACATTATTAGTGAACCCTTTACGCTACAATCACCTAAGTGTAAAATGCACACAGCTTGTTGAAGTATTTATTCACTTCCTAGTTGAAATTTCTAATCAAAGTTTGCACTTGTTTCCCTTGCGTGTTATGTTGATGTAAGGCTGAACAAGAGGATGCATCTCGTGAGAGCTCTTAAAGACGGTGATGTCGCACACTACTGAGGGTTTGTTTTGCCGGTCTGTGGCAGTGAATTCTTTTTCGGATAGAGTACCGGCGCCTCCGTCCGCCATGGAAACCACATGGACCGAGAGTTTCTTCCGCAGTTGCGCGTTTTCTTCGAGCAAGTTCTAAAAGACCATTTGGTGTGACTTTTTCGATTTTATTTTATTATTATTTATTAATTGTCAATTTGAAATCCGTGATACCAATTGAAACGCAAAAACAAAGCATACATTAATTTCCGCTACCGCGCCGACCAATCACAACCAAGTACATCGATTTTAGGATTTTTCAGTTTTCGATTTTTTAATTTTACCGTTTTCGGTGTTTATTTTGACATTTTTTGGATTTTTTAATTACAATTTTTTTGTATTTTTCGATATTTTAGTGTCTAGATATTTTAATTTTTCGATTTTTCAATATTTAAATTGTTTCGTTTCTTCGATTTTTTATTTTCTCGATTCGAGATTTTTAACTCTTTGGTTTTTTTAATTGTTAATTTTTCGATTTTTCCGTGTTTCCTTTTTACATTTTTCGATTTCTCGCTTTTTTAGTTTTTAGATTTTCATTATGATTTTTATTTTTCAGTAAAATGTTTGTATTTTTCGATTTTTAAATTTGCAGATATTTTAATTTTGCGATTTTCCAAACTGATTTTTAATTTTTCGATTTTTCGGGTTTCAATGTTACAAATTTTCGATTTTACGTTTTTATTTTTTTTCCAAATTTGCAATTTAGTAATTGTTTTATTTTTAAATTTCCAGATTTTTAATTTTTCATTTTTTCAAATAATTATTAGTTTTTTTTTCAAGTGTACAATTCTTGCCTTTTCAATTATCCGATTTTTCAATTTCTGTATTTTTTCAAATCTTTGATTTCTTGGTTTTTAAATTTTTCGGTTTTACAATGTTTCGTCTTTTCGATGTTACAATTTTTCAATTTTTCCATGTTTCTTTTTTACAATTTCTTAATTTTTTAGTTTTCCGGGTTTCATTTTAAAATTCTTGAATTTTGAAATTAAAAATTTTTCTATTTTTTATTACATATTTAATTTATAGGAATTTTTTCAGTATTTTCATTTTTATGGTTACAATTTTTCCTCTTCCAACTGTTAACCTTTTAATTTTTCGATTTTGAGTTTCTTTTTTTATCAATTTTTAAATTGTTGGGTTTTTCAGTGTTTATTTTTCAATTTTTCAGTTTTACAATTTTTCGATGCTTCAGTGTTAGAATTTTCCGATTTTTTAATTTTTTAAAATTTCAGTTTTAATAATTTATGCTTTTGTTGCAAAATTAAAAAACGAAAAATTGAGAAAATGAAAAATTAAAAATAAACTACTTCCCAGTAGATGATTCCAAATTATTTTATTTCTTCAATTTTTTGATTTTTCAATTCGAGACTTTTATATTTTTCGTTTTTTTAATTGATAATTTTTCAATTTCTCCATTTTTTAGTTTTTCGATTTTCATTATGAAATTGTTGGATTTTTCAGTAAAATTTTTGTATTTTTCGATTTTTTAATTTGCAGATATTTTAATTTTTCGATTTTCTAATTTTATTTTTAATTTTTAGATTTTCTATCTGTTGAATTTTACAATTTTTCGTTTTTTCATTTTTTCAATTCCTCGATTTTTAATTTATCACTTTTTCAGGTTTCAATATTACAAATTTTCGATTTTCCAGTTTCTAGCTTTTTCTCAGTTGTTCCATTTTTTAATTGCTTTTTCGTTACCCAATTTTCAGTTTGTCAATATTTTCAATTTTTCGATATTTCAAGTTTGGTTTTTCAATTTTTCATTTCTTCAATTTTTCCATTTTTTATGTTTCACTTTTTTCAAATAATTATTAGGATTTTTATTCAATTGTACAATTCTTGGCTTTTCCAGTATCCGATTTTTCAGTTTTTGCATTTTTTCAATTCTTCGATTTCTCAATTTTTAAATTTTTCGGTTTTTGAGTGTTTCGTTTTTCCGATATTACAATTCTTTCATTTTTCCATGTTTCGTTTTTACAGTTTCTTAATTTTTTAATTTTTCGGTTTTCATTTTAAAATTTTTGGATTTTGAAATTAAATTTTTTTGTATTTTTGATTGTTTCATTTATAGAAGTTTTTGTTTTTCGTTTTTTTTCAATTTTTCACTTTCTCGATTTTTAATTAATCAAGGTTTTCAGGTTTCAATGTTACAGTTTTTCGATTTTTCAATTGTTTTTTCAATTATCCCATTGTCCAATTTCTCATTTTTTTCATTTTTCGATTTTTCATTTTTTAAATTTTTCGATATTTCAAGTTTCATTTTTCAGTTTTTAAGTCTCATTTTTTCGGTTTTTTCAAGTTATCTTTATTTTTTCAATTCTTCGATTTCTCAATTTTTTGATTTTTCAATTCAATTCAAAATTTCGGTTTGAATAAATTTGTCCTTTTGTTGCACAATTAAAAAATGACGAATCGAGAAAATGAAGAAATAAAAATTGAGAATTTGAAAAATTTCAAATTTTTCATTTTTCGATTTTTCAATGTTTCGATATTTCAAGTTTCATTTTAAAATCTTTGGATTTTGAAATAGGGTTTTCAGGTTTCTATTTACAATTTTTCGATTTTTCAATTGTTTTTTCAATTATCCACTTGTTTAATTTCTCATTTTTTTCATTTTTCGATTCTTCAATTTTAAAATTTTTCGATATTTCATTTTTCAATTTTTGATTCTCATTTTTTCAGTTTTTTCAATGTTTCTTTATTTTTTCAATTCTTCGACTTCTCAATTTTAATATTTTTTGATTTTTCAATTTTATAATTTTTAGACGTTTCAATGTTACAATTTTCTGATTTTTAATTTTTTTAATTTTTCAAAAATTCGGTTTGAATCAATTTGCCCTTTCGTTGAATAATTAAAAAATTAAAAATCGAGAAAAAAAAGAATTAAAAATTGAGATATTATTCGGTATTTCAGTGTTACAATTTTCCGATTTTTTGGTTTTTTAATTGTTAATTTTTCTATTTTTCCGTGTTTCGTTTTTAGTTTTTCGATTTCCCGATTTTTTAGTTTTTCGATTTTCATTATGATTTTTATTTTTTAGTAAAATTTTTGCATTTTTCGGTTTTTAAATTTTCAGATATTTTAATTTTTCGATTTTCCAAGTTGCTTTTTAATTTTTCGATTTTCCATCTTGTTACAATTTTTCGTTTTTTCGATTTTTCAATTTACCACTCTTTCAGTTTTTTAATTTTTCGATTTTCATTATGATTTTTATTTTTGATGATTTTTTAATTTGTAAGTATCAGATTTAATTTTTCGATTTTTTAATCATTTGAATTTTACAATTTTTCGTTTTCTCGATTTTTCAATTCCGCGATTTTTAATTTATCACTTTTTCAGGGTTCAATCAGATTTTTCAGTTTTTTTTGTCAATTCTTCGATTTCTCAACTTTAAAATATTTGGATTTTTCAGTGTTTCGTTTTTACAATTTCTTAATTTTTTCATTTTAAAATTTTTGGATTTTGAAATTTTTTTGTATTTTTGATTGTCTAATTATGTTTTTCGTTTTTTCAATTTTTCACTTTCTCGGTTTTTAATTAATCAGGGTTTTCAGGCTTCAATATTACAATTTTTCGATTTTTCAATTATCCAATTCAATTTCTCAATTTTTTCATTTTTTGATATTTCAAGTTTCATTTAAAAATATTTGAATTTTGAAATTATTTTTTTTTTATTTTTGATTATTTAATTTATAGGAATTTTTGTTTTTTCGGTTTTTTCAATTTTTCTTCATTTTTTCAATTCTTCGACTTCTCAATTTTTACATTTTTGATTTTTCAATTTTATGGTTTTTAGACGTTTCAATGTTACAATTTTCTGATTTTTAAATATTTATATTTTTCAAAATTTCGGCCTGAATAAATTTGTCCCTTTGCTGAACAATCAAAAAATCAAAAATCGAGAAAATAAAGAATTAAAAATTGAGAATTTGAAAAATTTTAAATCCAAAAACTGCAAAATTGTTTCTTTTTATTAATTTTTTTAAATTTCTGAATTTTTAATTATTTTGTTTCTTTTTCGATTTTTCAGTTTTTAATTTTTTGATTTTTCAATTTTTCAGTTTTACAATTTTCGGTGTTTCAGTGTTAGAATTTTCCGATTTTTTGGTTTTCTTAATTGTTAATTTTTCAATTTTTCCGTGTTTCGTTTTTACATTTTTTCGATTTCTCGATTTTTTAGTTTTTCGATTTTCATTATGATTTTGATTTTTTAGTAAAATTTTTGTATTTTTCGACTTTTAAATTTGCGGATATTTTAATTTTTCGATTTTCCATCTTTTTACAATTTTTCGTTTTTTCGATTTTTCGATTTTTCAATTTCTCAATTTTCAATTTATCACTTTTTCAGTTTTTTCGTTTTTAGATTTTCATTATGATTTTTATTTTTGATATTTTTTTAATTTGTAAATGTCAGATTTAATTTTTTGATTTTTTATCTGTTGAATTTTACAATTTTTCGTTTTCTCGATTTTTAATTTATCACTTTTTCAGGTTTCATTCAATTTTTCGATATTTCAACTTTGGTTTTTCAATTTTTGATTTTGATTTTTCCATTTTTTTTCCAAATTTACAATTTTGTAATTGTTTCATTTTTAAATTTGCCGATTTTTCACTTTTTTCAAATAATTATTAGGGTTTTTATTACTCAATTGTACAATTCTTGGCTTTTCCATTACCAGATTTTTCAGTTTGTTTTTTTTTTGTTAATTCTTCGATTTCTCAACTTTAAAATATTTCGGTTTTCCGGTGTTTCGTTTTTTCGATGTTACAATTTTTCAATTTTTCCATGTTTCGTTTTTACAATTTCTTAATTTTTTAGTTTTCCTGTTTTCATTTTAAAATTTTTGGATTTTTAAATTGATTTTTTTTTTGTATTTTTGATTATTTAATTTATAGAAGTTTTTGTTTTTCGTTTTTTAAATTTTTTAGTTTTTCGATTTTTAATTAATCAGGGTTTTCAGGTTTCAATATTTCAAGTTTCATTTTAAAATCTTTGGATTTTGAAATTAAAAATTTTTGTATTTTTGAATATCTAATTTATAGAAATTTTTGTTTTTCGTTTTTCAATTTCTCAATTATTAATTAATCAGGGTTTTCAGGTTTCTATAGTACAATTTTTCGATTTTTCATTTGTTTTTTCAATTATCCACTTGTTTAATTTCTCATTTATTTCATTTTTCGATATTTCAAGTTTCATTTTTCAATTCTTCGACTTCTCAATTTTTTTATTTTTCAATTTTGTAATTTTTAGACGTTTCAATGTTACAATTTTCTAATTTTTAAATTTTTAAATTTTTCAAAATTTCGGTTTGAATAAATTTATCGTTTTGTTGAACAATTAAAAAATGAAAAATCGAGAATTTGAAAAATTTTATATTGAAAAATTGCAGAATTGTTTCGTTTCGTCGATTTTTCAATTTCTCGATTTTTAATCGTTGCATTTTTTAACGTTTCGATTTATTTGATTTCACAAAATTTAATTTTGATTAAAATCGAAAATCAAGAACCTAAAAACTTTAAAAATTGTTTCGTTTTTCGATTTTTTGATTTTTCAATTTCGAGATTTTTATTTTTTCGTTTTTCCAATTTTTCAGTTATCCGATTTCGCAGTTTCATTTTTAATTTTTCCATGTTTTTATAATTTTTCAATTTTTCGGTGTCCCGATTTTTTAGTTTTTCGATTTTCATTTTGAAATTTTTGGATTTTTCATTGTTTCAATAATACAATTTCCCGATTTTCCAATATTTCAGTTTGGATAAATTTGTTCTTTTGCTGGAAAACAAAAAAAACACGAAATTGAAAAATTAAAAAACTAAAAGTTAACGAAACACTGAAAAAACGAAAAATTTAAAAACCGAGATATCGAAGATTTGAAAAAATACAGAAACTGAAAAATCGAATTGAAAAGCCAAGAGTTGTACACTTGAAAAAAACCCTAATAATTATTTAAAAAAAGTTAAAAATTAAAAATCGGGAAATTTAAAAATGAAACAATTACAAAGTTGTAAATTTGAAAAAAAATAGACACGTGAATTCGAAAATTTGTAACACTGAAACCTGAAAAAGTGATAAATTAAAAATTGAGAAATTGAAAAATCGAAAAAACGAAAAATTGTAGAAGACGGAAAATCGAAAAATTAAAAAGCAACTTGGAAAATCGAAAAATTAAAATATCTGCAAATTTAAAAACCGAAAAATATAGAAATTTTACTGAAAAATAAATATCATAATGAAAATCGAAAAACTAAAAATCGAGAAATCGAAAAATGCAAAAACGACACAAGGAAAAATCGAAAAATGAAACTGCAGAATCGGATAATTGAGAAATTGGAAAAACGAAAAAATAAAAAATTCCGAAATTGAAACATCAAAAAATCGAAAAACGAAACAATTTTGAAATTTTTCTATTTCAAAATTTTCGAGTTCTTGATTTTCAATTTTAATGAAAAATGAAATTCTGCAAAATCGAATAACTGTAACACCGAAACATTGAAAAATGCGACAATTAAAAATCGAGAAAAACTGAAAAATCGACAAAACGAAACAATTCTGCAATTTGTCGATATAAAATTTTTCACATTTTGGATTTTTCATTTTTTAACAACAATTGTTCAACAAAAGGACAAATTTATTCAAACCGAAATTTTCAAAAATTAAAAATTTAAAAATCAGAAAATTGTAACATTGAAACGTCTAAAAATTATAAAATTGAAAAATCAAAAAATTTAAAAATTGACAAGTCGAAGAATTGAAAAAAAAAATAAAAATTGAAAAAACCGAAAAAATGAGAACCAAAAATCGAAAAATGAAACTTGAAATATCGAAAAATATTAAAATTGAAAAATCGAAAAATGAAAAAAATGAGAAATTAAACAAGTGGATAATTAAAAAAACAATTGAAAAATCGAAAAATTGTAATTAGACATCTAAAAACCCTGATTAATTAAAAATCGAGAAATCGAAAAATCGACAAAACGAAACAATTCCACAATTTTTCGATATAAAATTTTTCAAATTTTCGATTTTTACTTCTTCATTTTCTCGATTTGTCATTTTTTAATTGTTCAACAAAAGGATAAATTTATTCAAACCGAAATTTTGAATTGAATTGAAAACTCAAAAAACTGAGAAATCGAAGAATTAAAAAAATTAAGAAAACTTAAAAAAACCGAAAAAATGAGACCTAAAAACTGAAAAATGAAACTTGAAATATCGAAAAATTTAAAAATTGAAAAATCGATAAATGAAAAAATTGAGAAATTGAACAATGGGATATTTGAAAAAACCCTGATTAATTAAAAATCGAGATAGTAAAAAATTGAAAAAACGAAAAACAGAAACTTCTATAAATTAAACAATCAAAAATACAACAAAAATTTAATTTCGAAATCCAAAAATTTTAAACTAAAAAATTAGGAAATTTCGAAAACGAAAGATGGAAAAATTTTAAAATTGTAACATCGAAAATAGAAAACACTGAAAAAAAGAAAAATTCAAAAGTTGAGAAACCGAAGAATTGAAAAAATACAGAAACTGAAAAATCGGATAATGGAAAAGCCAAGAATTGTACAATTGAATAATAAAACCCTAATAATTATTATTTGAAAAAAGTGAAAAATTAAAAATGGAAAAATTGAAAATCAAAAATTGAAAAACTAAACTTGAAATATCGAAAAATTGAAAAAATTTGTAAAACTCAACAGACAATCGAAAAATTAATAAGCAAATTAGAAAATCGAAAAATTAAAATACCTACAAATTAAAAAATCGAAAAATACAAAAATTTTACTGAGAAATCCGACAATTTCATAATGAAAATCGAAAAACTAAAAAATGGAAAAATCAAAAAATTATCAATTAAAAAAACGAAAAATATAAAAATCTCGAATTGAGAAATCAAAAAATTGAAGAAACAAAATAATTTGGAATTATCTACTGGGAAGTACTTTATTTTTAATATTTCATTTTTTCAGTTTTTCGTTTTTTAATTTTTCAACAAAAGGACAAACTTATTAAAATTAAAATTTTAAAAAATCAAAAAATCGGAAAATTGTAACACTGAAAAGTTGTAAAATTGAAAAATCAAAAAATTAAAAAATGAAAGACATTGAAAAACCGAAGAATTTTAAAAATTGTAATCTTAAAACTTGAGAAGCTGAAAACTTCGATAATTAAAAAAACAACTGAAAATTTGAACAATTGAAAAAAAAGAAACTGTAAAATCGAAAAACTGATTCATTAAAAATCCAGAAATAGAAAAACACAGAAAACAAATTAAAAAACTGAAAGTTTAAAACTCAAAAAAATTGTAAAATCGGCGTCGGTTTGAATTTGGTGCAGAAATTAACGTATGCTCAAAAACAATTCCCGATTAAACACTCACCTTAAAAAACTCGACGATATCCTCCTTCGTCAACGTCCTCAGATACCCCACCTCCACGTTCGCCCTGTCGAAATGATACTGCTGCGCCGTGATCTCCCCCCAGTAAATATTCGTCTGCGTGGACAACTGCTTCGGTTTCTCCAGCCTCTGCGCCGCCAGCGCCTCCCGGTGCCTCGCGAACTCGTCCTCCGGCATGTTCACCAAGTGCGTCAACATGTTCTTCAAGAACTCCTCGATCCGGTCGTCCAGGTGCGTCGGGTGCTTGTCCGACTGCACGATGATCCGCAACCCCTGCACCCCGTTCGACCTCCTGATCCCGCTGAAAACGATGTACCCCAACTGTTCTTTGGTTCGCAAGATATCGAAACACGGTTCTTGGATGATTTGAGCAAATAGTTCGAGTTTCATGTTGTTCTCTTTTGATTGCAGCCCACACTGGTAGTAGAGTTCGATGCACGACTCTTTGTGCACGTCGTTCTGGACTTCGTACACGTAGTTGCAGCCGTCTTCGAGTTTGAGCTCGCGGTTAAGTAGGAGCTGCCTGGGGAGGAGGGGCGACATGTTGAGGGCCGAAAGGAGGCGGTCTTCCACGATTTGGACGAGCTGGAGCGCTTTTTCCTTGTTGGCGTTGCCGTGGATGAGGCATTCGATGTGCATCTTGGAGAGGATTTGCGGAATGAAAGCTTCCAGTTTGTCGAGAGTCAGCTCTAAGTTTTGCGAGTGAGAAAGGGGCGAGATTTATAGAACGAACTTACGGTCTGTGGCGGCTAAAAGCTCTTGTTTAGTCCACGAGTGTTCAGTTAGTAAGGCAGCTAAGTAGTAGACGGCGTGCTGATATGGTTGCTCGGCGGCGAAGTTCTTCAAGTTCCTGATGTACTACAAGACACAAAATTACAAAGTCCGTTCCACGTAACAGTCTAACTTACGTTTTCTTTGCAAATTTCGAACCGTTTGGGGTCCACTTTAAAATGCGTCAATTTTTCCATCACCTTATCCAACAAAATGTGTTGTTTATTGCTGTAGCCACCAATCGCGAGCTATAACAATCATTTGAAAAACGAAAATTTCCAGAGGGCTATCTTACAATTAACCCGTATTTTGTGTTGATAAGCTCCCACTTTAAGCCAGCGAGTTCAGCTGCGTACGCGTACTCATTTAAAGCGTCTCGGAATAATTGTACCAACATGTGGGTGAGGTTGCAGTTGAGGGGGTCCAAATAAGCCAAAGGACTACGCAGAAGCATATTTTTTAAAATTAACAAAGAAAAAATTATGTGTGAGTAAATACCTGACAAAATCGAACATGACGTTGGCCTTGGGTAAGAGAAACGTATCGTCTTGCTTGAACCACACTCTGGTTAACGCAGTGTCTTGAATAATTGTCGGGTGTTCTGTAATCTTAAAAAATACGTGGGAAAAGTCAAACGGGTCGGGAAACTTACATCCTTGTCGATTGTGAACAACTGGAAATCCGTGGGGATGAATTCGTTCTTTTCGGGCATTTTCAGGTTGTCTGAGAGACCAGCGTCGCGCCACTTCTGCACAAATCGATAAAAAATCGATTAAATTTATTTCGATAGAGATTACGGTCGATAATCATTTGAATTTTTATTATTTCTCACCAATATATTTCTGACCATTTTTTTCTAATCTTTAAAAATAAATATGAAAAATTATTGTCAAGTGGGATTTATAAAGTGCCCCGCCCACCCACCCTATCTCAATTGTGATGATTTTTTTTATTCGTCGTGAGCCAAGAGGGCGAACCTTGACTGCAAAATCCTGTAAAGAAATAAGGATTTTGCAGTGAAGCTCCGCCCCCTTGACTCACGACGAATAAAAAAAATCATCACAATTGAGATAGGGCGGGTGGGCGGGCTTATATTTTTCTTTTTGTTTTAATTGCAAAATCCATATTTCCTTGCAAAAATGTACCATTTTAACCATGTTCTAAGTTTCTTGTTTTGAAAAGATGGCTATGTATATTAAGAAAAAAAGGGAAAATATAAGCCCCGCCCACCCACCCTCTCTCTATTCTGACGATTTTTTTTTATTCGTCGTAAGCCGAGGGGCGTAATTGCAAAATGGATATTTCCCTATACAAATTTACCATTTTAAACATGTTTTAAGTTTCTTGTTGCGAAAAGATGACTACATATATTAATAAAAAATGACAAAATGTAAGCCCCGCCCACCCACCCTATCTCAATTGTGATGATTTTTTATTCGTCGTGAGCCAAAGGGGCGGAGCTTAATTGCAAAATCCTTAATTCTCTACGAGAAAAAAAAAGGGTTGTAGAAGAAATGTGGATGATTTAAGTTGATTACTACAAAAATTTACCATTTTAGATATACTTTAAGTTTCTTGTTGGCGAAATAAGTCTACACATATTAAGAAAAATAGGCAAAATGTTGCCCCGCCCACCCACCCGATCGCAATTGTGATGATTTTTTTTATTCGTCGTGGGCCAAGGGGGCGGAGCTTAACTGCAAAATCCTTAATTCTCTACAAAAAATAAAAACATGTTTTAGAGTATCGTGTTGTTCAAAGAATACTATATATATTTCTTGTAACGAAATAAATATTTTGCAATTAAGCTCTGCCCCTTTGGCTCACGGCCAATAAAAAAAATCATTGCAATTGAGATCGGGCGAGTGGGCAGGGCTTATATTTTTCCTTTTTGCGTTAACATATGCAGACTTCTGTTCGCAACACAAAACACAAACATGTTTAAAATGGAAAATTTGTACAAGGAAATATTGATTTTGCAATTAAGCTCAGCCCCATCATTGCAAAATCCATATTTCCTTACAAAAATGGACCATTTTCACCATGTTCTAAGTTTCTTGTTTTGAAAAGATGGCTATGTATATTAAGAAAAAAAAAAAGGGAAAATATAAGCCCCGCCCACCCACCCTCTTCTATTCTGACCATTTTTTTTATTCGTCGTAAGCCGAGGGGCGTAATTGCAAAATGGATATTTCCCTATACAAATTTACCATTTTAAACATGTTTTAAGTTTCTTATTGCGAAAAGATGACTACACATATTAGGAAAAAATGGCAAAATGTAAGCCCCGCCCACCCGCTATCTCAATTGTGATGATTTTTTTATTCATCGTAAGCCAAAGGGGCGGAGCTTAATTGCAAAATCTTTATTTCTCTACGAGAAATAAAAGGGGTTGTAGAAGAAATGTGGATGATTTAAGTTGATTACTACAAAAATTTACCATTTTAGATATACTTTAAGTTTCTTGTTGGCGAAATAAGTCTACATATATTAAGAAAAACAGGCAAAATGTTGCCCCGCCCATCCACCCGACCGCAATTGCGATGATTTTTTTTATTCGTCGTGAGCCAAGGGGGCGGAGCTTAACTGCAAAATCCTTATTTCTCTACAAGAAATAAAAACATGTTTTAGAGTATCGTGTTGTTCAAAGAATACTATATATATTTCTTGTAACGAAATAAACATTTTGCAATTAAGCTCTGCCCCCTTGGCTCACGACCAATAAAAAAAATCATTGCAATTGAGATCGGGCGGGTGGGCGGGGCTTATATTTTTTTTTTTTGTGTTAACATATGCAGACTTCTGTTCGCAACATAAAACAAAAACATGTTTAAAATGGAAAATTTGTATAAGGAAATATTGATTTTGCAATTAAGCTCAGTCCCATCATTGCAAAATCCATATTTCCTTGTAAAAATGTACCATTTTAACCATGTTCTAAGTTTCTTGTTTTGAAAAGATGGCTATGTATATTAAGAAAAAAAAGGGAAAATATAAGCCCCGCCCACCCACCCTCTCTCTATTCTGACGATTTTTTTTTATTTCCCTTTACAAATTTACCATTTTAAATATATTTTAAGTTTCTTATTGCGAAAAGATGACTACACATATTAGGAAAAAATGGCAAAATGTAAGCCCCGCCCACCCGCCCTATCTCAATTGTGATGATTTTTTTATTCGTCGTGAGCCAAAGGGGCGGAGCTTAATTGCAAAATCTTTATTTCTCTGCGAGAAATAAAAGGGGTTGTAGAAGAAATGTGGAGGATTTAAGTTGATTACTACAAAAATTTACCATTTTAGATATACTTTAAGTTTCTTGTTGGCGAAATAAGTCTACATATATTAAGAAAAACAGGCAAAATGTTGCCCCGCCCACCCACCCGATCGCAATTGTGATGATTTTTTTTATTCGTCGTGAGCCAAGGGGGCGGAGCTTAACTGCAAAGTCCTTATTTCTCTACAAGAAATAAAAACATGTTTTAGAGTATCGTGTTGTTCAAAGAATACTATATATATTTCTTGTAACGAAATAAATATTTTGCAATTAAGCTCTGCCCCCTTGGCTCACGGCCAATAAAAAAATCATTGCAATTGAGATCGGGTGGGTGGGCGGGGCTTATATTTTTCCTTTTTTTTTTAATATATGTAGACTTCTGTTCGCAACATGAAATAAAAACCTGTTTAAAATGAAAAATTTATATAAGGAAATATTGATTTTACAATTAGGCCCAGCCCCATAATTGCAAAATCCATATTTCCTTGCAAAAAATGTATCATTTTCACCATGATTTAAGTTTCTTGTTTTGAAAAGATGGCTATGTATATTTAGGAAAAAAAAAAAGGGAAAATATAAGCCCCGCCCACACACCCTCTCTCTATTCTGACGATTTTTTTTTATTTCCCTTTACAAATTTACCATTTTAAACATGTTTTAAGTTTCTTATTGCGAAAAGATGACTACACATATTAGGAAAAAATGGCAAAATGTAAGCCCCGCCCACCCGCCCTATCTCAATTGTGATGTTTTTTTTATTCATCGTAAGCCAAAGGGGCGGAGCTTAATTGCAAAATCTTTATTTCTCTACGAGAAATAAAAGGGGTTGTAGAAGAAATGTGGAGGATTTAAGTTGATTACTACAAAGATTTACCATTTTAGATATACTTTAAGTTTCTTGTTGCCGAAATAAGTCTACACACATTAAGAAAAACAGGCAAAATGTTGCCCCGCCCACCCACCCGATCTCAATTGTGATGATTTTTTTATTCGTCGTGAGCCACGGGGGCGGAGCTTAACTGCAAAATCCTTATTTTTCTACAAAAAATAAAAACATGTTTTAGAGTATCGTGTTGTTCAAAGAATACTATATATATTTCTTGTAACGAAATAAACATTTTGCAATTAAGCTCTGCCCCCTTGGCTCACGACCAATAAAAAAAATCATTGCAATTGAGATCGGGCGGGTGGGCGGGGCTTATATTTTTCCTTTTTGTTTTAATATATGCAGACTTCTGTTCGCAACATGAAATAAAAACCTGTTTAAAATGAAAAATTTATATAAGGAAATATTGATTTTACAATTAGGCCCAGCCCCATAATTGCAAAATCCATATTTCCTTGCAAAAAATGTATCATTTTCACCATGATTTAAGTTTCTTGTTTTGAAAAGATGGCTATGTATATTTAGGAAAAAAAAGGGAAAATATAAGCCCCGCCCACCCACCCTCTCTCTATTCTGACGATTTTTTTTATTTCCCTTTACAAATTTACCATTTTAAACATGTTTCAAGTTTCTTATTGCGAAAAGATGACTACACATATTAGGAAAAAATGGCAATATGTAAGCCCCGCCCACCCGCCCTATCTCAATTGTGATGATTTTTTTATTCATCGTAAGCCAAAGGGGCGGAGCTTAATTGCAAAATCCTTATTTCTCTACGAGAAATAAAAGGGGTTGTAGAAGAAATGTGGATGATTTAAGTTGATTACTACAAAAATTTGCCATTTTAAATATACTTTAAGTTTCTTGTTGGCAAAATAAGTCTACATATATTAAGAAAAACAGGCAAAATGTTCCCCCGCCGACCCACCCGATCGCAATTGTGACGATTTTTTTTATTCGTCGTGAGCCAAGGAGGCGGAGCTTAACTGCAAAATCCTTATTTCTCTACGAGAAATAAAAGGGGTTGTAGAAGAAATGTGGAGGATTTAAGTTATTACTACAAAGATTTACCATTTTAGACATACTTTAAGTTTCTTGTTGCCGAACTAAGTCCACATATTAAGAAAAACAGGCAAAATGTTGCCCCGCCCACCCACCCGATCGCAATTGTGATAATTGTTTTTATTCGTCGTGGGCCAAGGGGGCGGAGCTTAACTGCAAAATCCTTATTTCTCTACAAGAAATAAAAACATGTTTTAGAGTATCGTGTTGTTCAAAGAATTCTATATATATATTTCTTGTAACGAAATAAACATTTTGCAATTAAGATCTGCCCCCTTGGCTCACGACCAATAAAAAAAATCATTGCAATTGAGATCGGGCGGGTGGGCGGGGCTTATAATTTTCCTTTTTTTTTTTAATATATGTAGACTTCTGTTCGCAACATGAAATAAAAACCTGTTTAAAATGAAAAATTTATATAAGGAAATATTGATTTTACAATTAGGCCCAGCCGCATAATTGCAAAATCCATATTTCCTTGCAAAAAATGTATCATTTTCACCATGATTTAAGTTTCTTGTTTTGA